ATTGGAGTATACATGCACAAATTCAGGAAATAGAGAACGAATGGAGCGAGGAACGATGGTAGAAAGGAAGACAGAGGCAAAGGAGGAAAGAGGAGCGCTTCACCCTCTCGGGGAGTGGGTGGGTGGGTGGGGGTGCAGGCAATATCCAAACATGCTAAATTTTCTACAATGACGAACTCTGTAACTAATAAAAAGCATTCATATGGACTCCAAGGACGGAAAACCTTAATAGGATTCCAATTTCTAATTTGAAATCTAATTAAATTACAACCTAAAACTAATAACTTTATCGCAAGAAAGACATTACTTGACACAATTTGAATAAAGCATCTTCCTCTATCTTTGTCAATTATATATTTTCTGAAATTATGAAAGTACCCCTGGCCAAAGAATACTTGAAATAGTTCAGATTCACAGAAATTCAATAATATCTGACACATACAAAATTCCTGAATGTTTTGTATTTAATAATATTTTCAATATAATTAAGATTCTTCCATTAAGCTTGCTTTCTCCTATAACCTTTGGCTGCATGGCATCAACAATCTAGAAGGACTACATGCAATAGAAAGGAAGGTCATGCAAAAGAGGGGGGGGGGGGGGGGGGGACACAACAACAGTTAACAGCAACTCAGATTGCACAGGTCATGGGTGAAACATTTTTATCTATCAGAAGCTGAAATTCTGAGTATTTTTCTCTGATAACAGATATAGTTTCGATTCTAACAGACCAATAATGAACTTTGTAAAACTTGAAATTACTAGCTATAATTCTAGTTGCACCAAAAACCTATATGGTCAATTAAACCTGGGAATGATCATTGTAATCATTTCTTGGGAAAGTAAACCAACATAAAGAAATATCTTTTTTTTTTTTTTTTGGCATGCTTGAGTAATACACGTAATGATAGAATCGACTCATGATAGAGAGGTCTTCAATTCGGCAACCCTTCTATCGGACTAATGATTGTAGTCTTAAACCAACTATACAAAGTCAAGTAAAACAATTCTCTAAATTGCTCTGTCGTCCGTATTTGGTCTTCAAAGCATCTGCCATTTCTTTCTAGACTTAATAATCCTAACAAGGAGAAAAATTGGTTTCTAGA